GGCTGAGTTAGAGGCTGAGGATGTGTTGTGGGTTTCCTAAAAGTTACAGCCAGTAGTTTACTCCCCGGTTCATGATTCAAAGGAAAGGAAAAGTGGACGTCCTCTCAAAGGACCGATCCCTGGTGTAGAGGACGGAGAATAAAAAACAAAAGGCGATCCTTTTCCGCGCGTGCAAGTCGTCGTAACCTACGCGTGGCTCCAGTGCGTCGGCTGAGTGACTTCAGCGAAGACGCGCTCTGCTTAACACAAACTGAGCAATAAATTTTGCTATTATTAACGCGTAACGTTTTGGGTTCGATTACCTCCCGATTCAGCGCTCTTCTGGATAATGCCCGTTGGCGGGCTCTTGTGAGAAAGATGTGAAACATGAAATTCTACAAAAAAAACTGAGAAATTCACTGAGACACTACAAGCTTGTGGATGAGGAATTTCTTTCACGGAGTGGGGACAATTTCAGTGAGAAAACGTGAAATGAGCAAACCATTTGGGAGACCTAGACATAGATGGAATAATATTAAGGTGGATTTTAAAGAGATTGAATGCCAGTATGTGGAGTGAATTCTTCCGGTCCACGATAAGGTCCAGTGAGAGCACCGTTTGAAGACGGTAATGAACCTAATGAACCTTCGGGCTCCATTAGACGTCGACGTAAAAATTTCTTGACGACGTGAGAGACAATCAGCTTGTAAAGGAGGATTAAACAAACGAAAATACCAACTGGACAGATGGTTAATCAAAGGACCTAACACTTTAATAAAACAGAGAGACATTTTAAGAAACGGGAAACGATATTAAAAGTATAAAAATGAAGAATATTATACAGACGCTAATCACGAATATATTCGGTTCACTACAAAGTATTGCAATGAGTCTTAAGTGTAAAATAAACTTAATTTGCTTACAATTAAAACTGCGTCACCCATTTAATCCGTAAAACACTGTTTTGGCGCTAACTGTAAATGCCGAATATTGCAATCCAATTTCCGTGCTAATTTGGTCGTGTTAACACGCATTCAGCCCACACAGCAGCGCCAATTTTCCCTCCTCGCGACACCCCCGTGTAGACAGACAGTCCTCCGCGTGAAACACTCGCAGCTGAGCAGGTTGCTTGCCGATAAGGGACGACATTTGTTTCAATTAATCAACAGAAATAACTATTCTAATGACACACGTGTTGTCGGATTACATCGTAGGATCTGTGCAAACACAACGGCTGAAGGTAAGAAGCCTTTATAATACGGACTGGATTCCACATAGCAACCGGTTCACCACGTTTAAAATTAGCTTCAAGCGTTATTGAAACCATGTCTAAAATAATTCTGACATGAAGTGTCATAATTGACAAACACCACGGATTAAAAATCTTTGTTCAGAAGCTAATGGTGATACGCCACTGCACACACATCCTATTTTATTAAGAACAATTTTATTAGTATTTTCCATCAACATCTAGATCTACAAAGTTGTCTCTTTTCTTCGCGTTTCAGACTTAAATACTTCGCGCAAAAACAGCACATAAGTTACGTGAAACATAAGACAGTCACATTTAAGGCTTTGACCGGGATGTTCTTTTGTTAAATCTTATGTGGTACCGCCTGATTCGACTTCTAATGGTTAAGTGAAGTGTTTTCTTCGCGGTACGGTCTGGATTCGTAAATATTATGAAGACGAGCTTCGGCTTCAAAGGGTTAACCAGCTGATTTTCGTAATGGTGAGGTGTAGTGTTTTCTTCGCGGTACGGACTGAATTCATAAATAATATTCAGACGATCTTCGGCTTCAAAGGGTTAATTGGTTTGAATTCATAATAAACATCGCTAGGAGAGTCAGGGAACTGGTCGCTTTGTATAGAAAGTGCACACCCCAGCTTTTGTATCTGAACTGGCATTCTCCTTTCCGATTACTTACTCCTATTCCGACCAATCACGACTACGCACAAACTTTCGCCACGCATGTTCGACCACTTCTCCGGCACCCGTGACGGGCGGGTCAATCTAATTAAACCAGTGCAGGCGTCGCTGCACTATATCGAGCCGTAATGAACGCTTCTTGATCGCTAATAACAATTACCAGCCACGGCTGATTACGGCCAATTACCCCAACCCCCAACTTTCTTCGGGGGGGGGGGGGGACACGCCACCTGGAGCAGCGTCTAGGAAAGTGACGTCACAACAGCAAACACAGTTTACTTAAACGTGGGAAATTAAAAAGGCAAATGAAATTTTGACGTACCTGAAAACCAATGGCAACACTGTAAAATATGGCGGATACATTCACGCACTTACGTTTGCACGCAATTCACATCAGGTGTGATATTATATCCTGATTCTTTGCAGCAGAGTTCTTGAGAAGCTGATAGTCACTCACTCAGTCACAAAACTCTTCCCTGCCTTATAGGAAAAGCGAATGTCCATTGCCGAATTCACAAAAGCTTGTCAAATCTCGACACCCTGCTCTTTAGGACCGATTTTTAGCACATCTTCGATTCCGTCTTGTAATGGTCTCGTCATTTCAGGTGTTCCTACAAATTTTTCATTTCCCACGTCGTATTCGTGCCCCGTAAATCTCACATCCATCATTTTGTCACTGCAAACAATATTTGGTGACGAGAAAGGCCAGTTTTGTGATAACGTTGCGCCCAATTTTACCGAATGTACAGACGCAGACTGTATTTTAAATTATTTTATTAATTACGCCGACGTCATGTAAAGTTAGCAAACAAATAAACCAAGAATAAAAAAACACATCGTTTATGAATCCCGTTTAATAATAACCACAAACTCAATTCGTGAAAACCATTAAGCCTGGGCCAATATGTA